GCGGAGTTCGAGGGCAACCGAGGCTGATGAGTTCATGGCAGTCAGGTCGTTTTTGAGAAACGAATAGTTCAATTGATCTGGGAGCTGTGACAATTCGGAACAGGATGAGGGAGCCATTCAATGGTCCGCGTAGAGCCTCATTAGCATTTATCAGTCAAGCGAATGGGGAATGCTGCGGCGCACAGTGGATCGAGTCAATGGAAGGAGTCGGACCTGAAATTTTTGATAAAAATTGTAAAATTGTACGTTTATCGCATCCCAATTTTAATTTTAAGGGGTGATTTTTACAGACAATTTGACGAGAAAACCAATGAAAACACTTTTAGAACCTCTAAAATTTGTATAAACGGAGTTATAAGCTTTTAAAGTTTCCAAATTTTGTTCAACCTCTTCTATTGAATCGAAGCACTGTGCGGTGGCGGCGGCGTCCTGCGTCAACATAACGTGGACGTGGAGTCATGCACCGCTCGTCGCATTCGGGCGGCTACAAATCCTCCATGATCAATGCTCAGAGTCCTGTGTGCCATGCATTCGCGTATTGACACAGTTTAAAACGCATGACCCTTTTCCTGGCTTTTTTCGGCCGCCTAACGGTAGCCTAAACGTGCTATTCTACGTGCTGAAGCTCCAACACAGCCGATTCCTCGTGAATCGCTTCCATTAATTTCTTGTACAGCAAAAGACTCACACCGAATTAAATGGTAATTAAACTTCTCGCCGTTAAGTCGGAAATGACATCAAATTTTCGCGTGCTCACTGCTCTCCAACAACCTTCGTATTTTAACAGCCGGGGGTCAACTTTGCTGTCATATTGGAATCATGCACTTCGTTTAAATCAGCAGGGAGGAACCTGGAAGAAAATCCGATTTCGAACATTTTGTCACCATTCTTTCTCTCGGTAACACAGACTCTTTGGGAAGTGTAGACTTAGGAGTCGGGTTTCTCTCCTTGAGCTCTAGTTCGAAGGGTATTTGCTTTCTATGCTGGCAGGAGCACAGGAGTCTCGCTTGGTTGAGCAGAAAGCTAGTTGTCAGAGGCAGCTCGCATAAAACGTGAAAAATGGTGGGCAATAATGGGGAAACGCTAGACCAGCGTCGGGGACAGTGGACAAGTCTCCCCAACTCAGACGCAGATAATTGGTCTGGATCGTTGTGAATGTCAGCTTTCCCGCCGAATCGCCCTCACCTCTCCCATCGATCGGCCTCCAAGAGGACTCTTCAAACTTGGTCCGGCTCCCCCCGCCCCCACCCCTGCTCCCCCTGCCCTTGGTTTCCTCCTTTTCCCGATGCACCATCAAGGATCGCCCTTTTCACGGGCACACGAAAAATATCCTCTTTTTCCTATACGTCATCATTATGTCGTCATTAAAAATCCTTTGAGGGGTCTCGAGAAAGTAATTGCGCGGGAGATTTCATTTAAAGCGTTATTTTTTGTCATCATTTTTTCTGTGAGAAGCCAAATCCATACACCTCGATTTACAATCATTCCGACGTCCAAAAATCATACGAGGAATGTGTGGATCGGAGTGGTAAAAGAGCTTGTCCGAAAATAACCAAGAAAAAACTTTGTTCGGGTGGTGGGTGGTCTGTGACACCTTGTATAAACGTAACGTTGTATCACGACTCATCGCCAGAGCCTAGTATCAACGACAATTTTTCTGCCGTGCTAAGGGAAAACGCCGTATGAACCTTCAGGCGTTGCCAGATTTCCTTTCATTATTTTCTGGTAAACTTAGGAATATTTTTCCTCCAACTTTTTAGATACTTTTTCTCGCAATTCCATCGAAGACTCCTGAAAATTTCGAAGGAAAATTTTCATAACTTTCCTCAAAATTAAACATTTTATCGAAGTAAATTCGGCAACTCTCGAATGTTCATACGGTGTTTTTTCCTAGCACGGCAGTTTTATCCTCGAGTAACACCAGCTCACGCAATAGTGTCTTAGAAAATAAAATAACAGATCGATTAAAGGTGTCCTTTTCAACCGATCAACTTCAAAATATTAGCATATTTAAATGGTAACAGTTTTTAATTAAATTTCGTTTCGGGTAAAATAAGACGTAGCGGGGCTTGTAATGCTAATATTTCATATCGTATCAGTCAACATAAGCAACGTAACACATACATTCCACCGTTTTGATAATAACGACTTGATACAACTATTTTTTCTCTATGGATGCGCGTGTTGCACACAGAAAAATGGAAGGCGCTCTTGTCACTCCAGTCTATGAAGCAGTGGACGCAGCAGCGCGTAGTGCGCAGATGCAAAGTGGCAAGATTAAATTTTCAGATAAAAATTACATATATAAGAAGGAAGGTCAAGAAAGGATATTTTCGCAGCATTTGTACATAACAGGATACTATATCTCACCGCCACACCAAGCGTCCAAGCGTATAGCTTAGAGCACCATGAATGACCACAGCGCCTTCAATTTTTATGACGCGATGCGCACGTCAATAGAGCACGAATAGTTGCATCAAGGCGTTATTACCAATATCATTGTCCTCGGCCCGGATTTCAATACTGAAACGTCAAAGAAAAGCGGCGCGGCGCCGGCGTATGAACATTCAGCCGTTGCTAAATTTCCTCCGATTAAAGTCGAATTTCCGGAAAACTTGTGAGCTCTTATTTCTTTAAATTTTGGAGAATTCTCTGCGCTATCGAATCTAATGATTCTTAAAATTTCAAGGAGATATATCCCAAGCTTTCCTTAATAAAAACGTGTTTTATCAGAAGGAATTTAGCAACGTCTGGACCTTTGTAGGAGGTTCTTCAGCTGCGGCAAATTTGTTTTGGCGGAATTGATAGGCTCTTTTATCATTTCCAAGATCATTTTTGCTGTTATTACTTTTTACCAATCATGGCTCGTAAATGCTGAACCTAACTTAATATGAAGGATCACTATCCCTTAGAGGGTACAATCCTAGATGTGTTTCACATAAATGTTGCGGACCTCCCTCAATTAAAGAGAAAGTTACTTACACGAAATGAAGAAGCATCACAACATTTCTACGTTCGTTTATTCCCAAGAAAACCCTCTTCCGTTAGTAGAGGAAATAAAAGAAATAAAAAATGTCCGTCGTGTAATTGTTTTGAACGAGTCAACCAACACTTTTCCTCAACCTTTTCTTTGGAATGCACACTCATTCACAGCTAAGAAGGCGCAATAAATGCATGTTAAGTGTAACATCGCAATATACACCTCCTTCGCATTTAAGGACATAAAAGCCTCTTTTACAGCGTTCTTTGGCGCTCTTCGACTCCCAGCCGCCAAAGTGCCCTATCTTCTCAGAGCCCTTAAGAGAGTTGTTGGCAATCCCCCATTTTCTCTAAAACCCCCTGTCGCCCCCTTTCACTGGGCGTCCCCTTCGTCTCCTCCTCCGAGGAACTCAACCAAGTATCTTCTTCGGCAGCCTCTCTTCCGTCATCCTGTTAACATGACCGTACCAGACAAGCTGTTTGGTCATGACGTCGAATACGATGTCATTTTTGACTCCCATGAGCTGACGCAATCTATCATTACGGACCCGATCTCTCCTGGAAATTCCTGCTGACCTCCTCCAGAAATCCATCTCCATTGCTCTTAGCATACCCTGTGTCCGTTACTTCAGCTGCCAAACTTCACATCCATATGTTAGAATACTTTTGCCTACGTAATTATAAAGTCTCCTCTTGTTCTCTTTGGAAATCCGCGGATCTTAGAGGATTCCATTTAACATCGCTATAGCCTTCCTTGCCAAGGTGTTTCTTTAATTGATAGCTTGATCCGTCTTTCCATCCTGGGTCAACCTCACTCTCAAGTATTTATAATCTGCGCAACCTCTGATCTGCTGCTCATCCTCCTGCTCGATGCTTTGCTGATCACCTCCCAAAGTCAGTTTCTCGGATTTGGATACACTGACTTCCAAACCCCACTTCCGATACTCCTCTACAAACTTGTGCATCATACTCGGCGTCGTTCTGATCTTGTGCAATCACCGTTTGGTCATCAGCAGAGCACAGAGTAGAGAGAGTTTCACTCGCAAATTTACTTGGAGAAAAACGAGGAACCTTATCACATTTAATGCAAACAAAAGGGACGTCATACCATGCACAGGACATATTTAAAAATGGAAAAAAAAAACAAAACAAAAAACGCGGCAGTTGACTGCTTGACGCGTCTTCTGCCAGCCCGACGGGTGTTCTGTATTCGCGTCGTTTTTATTCGGAACCCAGATAATGCCGGGGGTTAAGAGGGGGGGGGGGTGTTGCATACACACTGCAGAACCCTTTGGAAAAAACAAAACAGTGCGGAGACAGCGGGAGGGGGAGCGGAGGCGACGAGAACGAAAGCACTCGAAGAGGAACTTAACGGCCCGACAAAAATCATATTTTGGAAGCACATTACCTCCTCCCCGGCCCGCCCCCCACCCCTAAAAGGCGCAATTTATAGGGGCTGCGGGGGAGGATTTTGAATGCACGCTCGCGGCGCGGCGCGGCGGGCCGCAGCCCAGCGCAGCGCGCCGGCGAGATCGATAAAGTTGGTACAGCGGCGGGCGAGATGAAATCGCAGCCCCCANGCCCCCCCAGCCCCCCCCCCCCCGGCGGGGTCCGCGCCGACTCAAGGCCCCCGCTCTAGGTTGCAGCCGGCGCGCGGCGCGGCGCGCGAGGCGGCTTCAAGGTCCGGCCTTTGTGTTGGAACCAAAACAGACTGGCCCGGCTGTACCGCGCCGCGCTCGTCCCACGCCACGCGCCCCGGCCTCTCACCGCGACCCCTTGAATTAATTTAATTATAATTAATTTAATCAAAAATATGAGGCAGTGATCTAGTTCGGTTTCGCGGTTTCGGATATCAAGTCCGTCGTGTGCGCGAGTGCTTCGATTGCTCTATGATCGAGCCACGTCGATCCACTTGATTAAGTGTCATTAAATTTTAATTAATTTTACTTCGACTTCATCGCCCGATTTTGTGATCCAATCTACCCGGTGTTGTGTGATTGCACTTTAATGTATTTTTATTGAAACCAGTTTCGTTGGGCCTTGTTTAAATTAATTTATTTAATTTAAATCGATCTGAGGCATCCTGGAATGAGTATTGATCATAAGTTTCAGGAAAAAATGCTCTACTGCGGGTTTTCTGGCATTCGTAAGAACTCTTTTAACCTGTTAGCATAGTATTCGAGCTATGCGGATTAAACTCTCCGTTTGAGTAAATTTAATTAAGTAGCTCGGTAGTGACGATGATGGATTCACATAAGATTAATTATGACTATTTATCCATCCTGATAAGTGTCAAATTTTGATGCAGTTACATTGAATAATTTGCATTATCATCTACTAGAGTTTTGATCAAAGACATATTTACTGGTGAATATTCATTTTAAGACCTAATATAATTCTGTATACTGGTCTCATAGAACAAACGTAGTAACCTGCGTTTTGTACTATTAAATAGGAGGAGTAATTCAGTGAAAAGAAGAGGATTTTTGTATATTTTCATTCCTTGTTCCAGGCGTAATTTTACAATGATCTACGCTACTAAATAAGTGAAATAATAATCGTACATGGAGTATTTAGTGAATAAATAATTCTCACCAAATATACCTGTAATACTGATCTTAAGTGCTGTGTTTTTCGTGATTTTGATCGTGAACGAAAAGTAATGATCGGCAGAGGCGTGAACTGTTATCCTGAGTCTAACATTGACTTTCACGTTCTGAGGTAAATCCCTTCTTATAACTCATTATGAATGTCATGTTCACATGAGAAACTTTCAAAATGATTGTGACTTGATTGATTTGACTGATCTTCTAATCATGTGAATAACTGTAATCAACAGTGTGCTTTTCCGATGATTACATGAGATAGCTCCTGATTTTCTCATGCTGTGGTGCATGATATAAAATCAACAATGCTTCATAATGCTTCAAGTTGATCTTGAAAATAAACTCAAAAGAACCTAGATTAAGTAGGCACATGAAAAACTTTTCGATTTTTTTTCTGGAAATCTTGGTCAAAGCATGAACAGTAGCTCTGCATAATTGAAACGGTGGGCACAGAAAGGGCATTTCTTGATTGCTATGTTTCGGAATCTCTGGCAACGTTTCAGCCAGTATGAAACTCTGATTAAAGCAAATGTATAGAATTTGTTGAAACTTTCACTAAATTTTCTACTTGATTTTACAATGCAGAATAAGAAAAATATCAGAAAATTCACCCGATTGTGTCCTCTCTAAAATATAAATTGGCAGTAGAGATTCTGATACCTGATTTTACAATGCTGAATAGGAAAAATTTCAGAAAATTCACCCAATTGAGTCCTCTCCAAAATATAAATTGGCAGTAGAGAGTCTTGATACATCGCAACCAAGAGATGCCCTCACGCCTTAATAATTCGGAGTATGCAAGAATCCATTTGCAATTCTTAGATGTAAAAGGCTCGTCAAAACTGTTGATGTTCCCGTACTTATAAAATGCATTAGAGTTTCCCATTTTTTTTCGTCCTATAACCTTAACTTCCTTAACTTCGTCGAAACGTCAGTGACTTGAAATGTTAAGTAAGTCCCTTAAGTATATTGACGGTGAAATTCCCCAATCTCGTCTCTCGGTTAGCGGCGTTGTAGACTTCTTATCATATTTTATTTCTTAAATGGAAAACTTTTCAACGTCAGTTTTGAAAACTCCGTGATTTTTCTTCTCTGAGCGAAGAAAACTCTATGAAAACTTCAAAGAATTCTGCTGATTTATACCTTCTTAAAATTTAAAATGGCAGCAGAGATTTTAGAACATCGCATACGAGATACGCGGTTTGGAAGTTTTGCCGTCTCTATGAAGGATTTAAACGTTCATGAAAATATCTCGAGGAGATTCCAAATCAGGAAAGTTACACGAAGCGTCTTAAAGTTGGACTACATTATTGCGATTAGGAACTACTATTTCCTCACTTTAGAAACAACGCATGTGCCATCAGTTTCCTTATGCAGATAAATGCTTTCTCAATGAGTCAGAAACTGCATTTCCTAATTGCAAACAAAGTCCAGTTGTTGAGAGTCTCATGCCCTATTCCTCATTACTGTAGCTAGGCTGTGTCAGGAACAATAGTTTTTATTTTTGATGGCACATTTTTTTTCGATATCGTATTGAATTTACTGTTGAGTATGAAACGACCTAGTTTTTTTGAAAAGTTGCTTTATGCTCCCCCACAGCATCATCTTGACCTTGAATCTAAGACGTGAATTCTTTTGAGCCTTCGTGCCTCACGTCTTTGTTGAACGAAATGGCCGCCTTTCCACGGGATTCTGTAAGAGACCCCTATTCTCACTTTCTCACACGCCACTTTGGAGCTTAAGTGCTCTTAAGCTCCAAATGGGTAAAGGGTCATTGATGCTGAAGATGGTGGATCGATACCTTGAACACATATCTCTTTCGTAAACTCATCTCCCACGACCCAATTTTTTCAGTGAAACAGTTGAGAGTAGAACAAAGGGCATTTCCCTCAAAGTCGTTCTTCAATCAGGAGGGTATAAGTTCGATCGATATGAGCCAATTGACATCGATTCAATCGACACAGGATTGAAAAACCGGTATTGATTTGATCCATATGAATCGATCGAAAAATAATTACGTGAGGGGATCAACATGATTCGGTAGAATCACGAGTTTATCGATCGAACCGTGGACTTGTCGATCGACTCATGGCTTTGTCGATCAATTCCCAGATATGTCGATGGATTCACGGGTTGTAGATGGATTCGCGAGTGTCCATCAGTTCATGTCGATGAATGTGTGTGTAAGTGGCTTTTACGGTGCGCTAGGGCGCTCTGCGACGCTTACCCGCCACAGGAATCGGGAATCAGGTGTTGCCAAATTGCTGGATCCGCCTCTGATGTACAGATGCAAATTGAAAAGCATGATATCTGCTTATTTAGGCACGGCCTGTAGCACAACGCAGCAAACATTGTTGCAGTTAGCCACGAATTATTGATAATGTGTGGCTAAATGAAACAAGGAAAATGAGTGCGGCAAATTTCATCAATTTTTGTCCCGTGGCGCCACAAGCCGTAGCTAATGAAATGTATAATCAAACACATGATCGATAGATTTATGAATCTTTTATGATCGATCGAGAACTTATACAGGAATCAATAAGTGCTCAAGCTATCGACACAACTGAAATAGGGTTTTGATAGTATTGCCTGAATGCAACGATACTTGCTCAGGGACTATAGTCATGTTGTCGTGTTGCATATGACAATCAATGAGCCGTTTTTCCTTCTGCCGCTTTAGATATCGCCACGTGAAAGTCCAGACGACCATGGCAAGTCAGCTTTTTAAGACTTTTCTCGACCTGTAGAAATGAAAAGAGTGGTATGTGTTATTATGATTTGAGCGGGACGAGGCGCTAATGTCAGAATTAACTGCAACTGAAACGTGGAAACCTCAATGATCACCTGTTACAGCTATGTTTCGTGTAAAATTACCTGCCGTTCCACGATCGATGCATTGCGTCATGAGAGAATTTGTGCTTGCTTAATTGTGAGCGACCAATTGCGAAATCGTGTCAATAAATGATCCTCATGATAATCTTTTGAATACCCTCATTACCATCACCATCGATAAAGTTTCGTATTTAATCGGGCTTTGATCACTTTTCTTCATTGTTATAGAGTTTTAGCGGACCTCGAGCTACAGAGTTGCTTTTCCTGTCATTTGTTGCCACGGATCAATCAAGGATTCATTAACTAACGAATCAATTAATTAATCAATAATGTATCCGCTTATTACGTAATGTCAAATAGGGTACGGCGTCCTTTATACATTTTTGGCCTGAAGAGAGAGAGATAGAGAGATATTAAATTCATTTCCTCTCATTTGAGCAAATGCAGTGTCCTTTTGTGTATTCCTTGAATATATTGTTCGATTTAAATTTAGGTAACCGTTTGACTTTTCCTTGAAAAAATTACATCAACCTTGCAGTGAGAATCAAATAGATAATTTTTTTGCGCGTTGATTTCAATTTCATCATTTTATTTTTTTTCGCACGACTGTGAATGGTGCAGAATTGTGCGATTATTTTAGGAGTTTGTATCACCTCGCACACGACTGGCTGCTTCTCTGGCAATTACAACTTGGCACGATTGTCATTGAATGTGAGTGGTTAGGAACTGCAAGGCATGTGAAATCTTTTCGTCGGGAAAATTTGCTTACTCGGGCTTTTCGCATGAAAAGCGGAGCGGAGCTTACTCAATTTAGGTACGGGCGCTTTGAATCAAGTTGATGTTGTCGGCAAATCCAATGTTAAATTGAAAGCTCCCATCGCTCATGTTGTTGTCGGCAATCACCAGTTTTTGTTCGGTCAGTTCCGTCTTGATATTGTTTACTAACGACGGTGTTTGGGAAGAAAAAAAAAAAAAAACCAACGATTTTTTCCATCTTGCGATGTTGTCGGATTTTACAGTAAAAATACTGGTTTATATAAGCAAAGCTATCTTTATGTTTCAGTACATAGCTAACAATTACAGATTGGGGGAAGAGGAAAGGTAAAATCAAGTTAAAATGTAAAAGTACAAGCAAATCATTTTTGATGGTTCGAATACGTGCGCTCTTCATACTATAATAATTGCGAGTTTTCAAACAATATTTTATGGCAGTGTAGATATTTTTATATCAAGGAACCGTTCAGTCAAAAATGCTTGTCGGTTTAGTAATCAAATCCTTGCAAGCTTTATGAGGAGGAGACTCGAAAACCTAAGATAATGACAACCCTGTCGGAATTAGTAAAGCTATATGAAAGAATCTAACCAGCACGAGCAACTAAGGCAGCTTCGAAGTAGTGCTAACGGTATCAAAAAAGTTGAAGGAGTTTTTTGTCTGCTGGTCTGCTGCGAGCTTATTCCTCTCGATTTTTGTGGTTTAAATATTACGATGCTTAGGTTAGAGGGAATCATCACGTGGATATGGAACTTTAGAAGTCTTATCCTTTCTAAACTCCAAAAATATTTCCGCGACGTTTTGGGCAGAGTATTCTTTTTCAATAATAGGTGGCCGGATTCGTTATTCTGGCCTGGTCAGAACTTTTAGAGGTTTTCCATAAGACTGCGAGAGAGATTTTCTTGAAGTTCTGTATATAGACCATTTACATTTTTACAGGAAATAAGCGTCAGCAATTTTTTAAAAAGATAGATGGGAAAGTGGAAAAGAGAAACAATCCAAATCTGGCTCAATAGTTGCTGAAACAATACTATAGATGTAATCAAACCCTTGAATTTGCTTATTTTTGAGAATTTGAATTACTGTTTTATTAATCAAAAAAACTATCCTAAATTATGACGCTGTTGTTTGAATAAGAGATATGCGCCAATTATTATGATGGCCAAAGTGCGAAACTACTTGTCTCCATTGGGATGATTCAAAATTTCCCCTCTTATATTTTACTTTTTTGGAGAGGAATACATTTTCGTACAAATGAAAACAAATTCAGCTTAGCTTGAAATTTACACAGAACATTCTGCGAACAGAGAAGCAAAATCAAGGAGGTTTTCAAGAAATTACGTTGACTAATTTTCCAAAGAAAAAATGGACCGCGCTTAGCAAAAAGAAACTAAGCTACATCGGCTATTGCCAAATTTAAGTAGGCAATTTAATGCCTTCTTTACATGGAAGTGGTTGTGCGGATGTTTGTGCAAATCTCAGGGAATTTTCTGCATAGCACGAAAGGGAAT